TACCGAGTGAGTTCCTGACTCGATGGATAAGAGCATCCATCAGGTATGATGACCTGTCAAAACCAGCACCATCTTGGGACCCCTTGGCTTGATGCATTAACCTCTGATCTCGATTACCCACGGTTGCCTTGTGACACTGGTACGATGGCAAAAATCAATCAGACCTTCCCCTATACTTACATGCCTGCGCCGAACGATGCTAATAAATAGATCACCGATGGGTCATTTCTCACTCGAACATTTGTGGCCCAAACAGTCTGTTCTGCTTCGACACCCAGACAGGAATAAGAGTTATGATCACACATTTTACAGAGGAAAGTGGCAAAGGGGCTCCAGAGTCCGACAAGGAAAAGAGACAGTCATTGCGAAAAGTAGGACAAATGCATCACTCCCTTCTAGGTTGCCCGTTTCTTCTGCTTCCTCTTCTGCTTATTATCAGATCTCTTCGCCAACTGATAGTCTTGAAGTTTAGGCTGGGGCTTAGTCGAAGCCTGCGCCTGTTTCTTGATTGAGAATTCAGAAGACCGAGATGCCGGCTTTTTGTGATTGACCTTTCGGCCCGGTGTCTTCACTTTTGTGGCCGGTTTCGCAGACTCACCATTCGCCTCCGTCTTTACCCGTTTTGGAGCAACATCCTGCTCTTCAGTGGCCACTGACTCAGAGGCTCGGCGTTTTCTGGACTCTGCTGGTTGTTCTGGGTTGGTCTGGGTTAAAAAAACACATGTGGTGAGAGTCGAAACTTGGAAAAAATTGTGGCCTAGAAGTCGTATTACGGTTGATAAGTGTGTATCACAGATATTCTAAGGCCACCAGCAATAAAATGTGCCGGTAATTGGGGGGAAAAATCAGTCCAGCATATCAATTAATTTCAGGAAAACGGGCCTTCCTAGCTGTGAGCTATACAGCACGTCCATGGGTTACTCAATGTCTTATGGTTACTTTTGATTGTCATAAACAGTCACGGACCACGCAGCAGTAGTATCTTCGGCACCAATCCAACAGATAGGTTACATGTGAAATGGTCTACAGGCATTGGTCGTCGTATACAGCGTATACATAGGCCCGTAAGACTTGCCTACATCAGGTGTCCACGAATCTCCACGAGCCAGGTGTAGTCAAATGAAATAGTAGAGGTTGAAAGGGTGCTCGGGAAATGCAGTGATCCCAATGAATTAACTGCGAGCGGAAAGCCTCCTATCTGTCAGGTCGTACGCGGTTGGGGACAACCTTACACAAAACCCCACTATGCAGACCGGACCGTTCGAGTCACCCTTGACTTTTGGAAAGTCTCCTTTCCAATATGTTCTTCAATATCAAACAAGATCCACCCGTAGTTGGCATCCCATTCCGTTAATTGATCACCAAACTTCATAGCTAAAGGCAACGAGAAAATTCCGCTCAGACTTCTGTGTTCGGAGATTTCGACTGGCTCAAAACCTCAGCCAACACTCCATATCCACAGCATCGTGTCAACGAAGCTTTAAACTGCTTTGAAATTTCCACTCGCCACTCATTCTAAAAAAAGTGGGTTTCAAGCATTTGGTTTCATGAGAGCAATGTCGATACATTCAATCGACTATTCAAATGAGACTATATCCTTAGTAGAATGCTTAGAAGAACGAGATGAGTGACTAGTGTCCTCGGTAATGGGCTGGTATACATGAACGTCCGGGAAGTATTGATACGCCCTACGGGATAAAGTGCTGACAGCATGATTTAAAGTGGAAGAGATTCAATGACGTGGACTCAAATGTTTACGGTCATGCAGAAAATTACTACAGGTCCGCGGGCTCTATTGGGAAGTAGGACTACATCTTTCCGGCTCAGTTTCCGCCTGATACGCCGACTAAGGCAGTCTGCCGATTTCCGCTGGCAGTTCAGCTTCATCTAACACTGTCAGTCTTGAGAAGGCCGATGGCCGCTGAAGTCATGAAATGCGATTACTGGTAGTCGAAAGTTGGCTTTTCAGCTATTTTAACTGGACAATTTTATCCAGCAGAGGTTCAACTGAGAGCACAGTAGAGTAATCGAGGGTTTGTAAGCTTCGCTGCCGTTAGTTTACGTCAAGACGTCCTCCTCGTCCTCCTTTAGGCAAGAAACGCCAGCCGGAGGGTCATTGGAGAGTACTGGGCTCTGTTGAATGTCGTGGTGCGAATGAGCGCACCGAAATGGGACATTATGATTCCTGTTCTTCTACGCAAATGGTTTTTTTTCGAAACAGTAGAGGTCTTACGGT